CTCGCTTTGTAGCCCAGGCTGGAGTGCAGTGGCGCGATCTCGGCTCACTGCAAGCTCCACCTCCTGGGTCAGTCACCTGGCTGGGACTACAGGTGCATGCTGCCACATCCAGCTAATTTTTTTTTTGTATCTTTAGTAGAGACGGGGTTTCACCATGTTAACCAGGATGGTCTCGATCTCCTGACCTTGTGATCCACCCGCCTCGGCCCCCCAAAGTGCTGGGATTACAGGCGTGAGCCACCGCGCCCAGCCTGGATCTTCACTTTCTAACTCATCTACTACAAATATATTTCTTTTGTGAAAAACAAACATTTTATTTGTAAGTAGGCAAACTAAAGAATGCTACTACAAAACCAAATACAATCTGCTTATGGATTCAGTTACTTCTGACTTCAAAGCAAAGACTTAAAAAGTGCTGTAATTCCATAAATGAGATTTTGGGAAGAGGGTTTAACCTCCTTTAGTCTAGTAAAGAGCATCTAAAAAGTCATATACACTAGCATTTTCTAGGCTAATAATGCTGTTTATTTAATAAACATAGCCTATATTATGCAACCTGGGCTTTGTCACACTTACCCTGTGAATCTATTTCATGTGAGATATCCCACTTAATGGACTGTTTGTCAGAATGATTGAGAGGAAAATTTGCTTCTTGATGGTGTATGGTTTTGACACTTGAAACTGCTATCTTAGTACAGAAGCATTAACCTTACTACACTTTATTTTATTTTATTATGTTTTTAGAGATAAGCTCTCACTCCATCATCCAGGCTGGATTGCTGTAATGCAATTGCAGCTCACTGTAGTGTTGAACTCCTGGGCTCAAGGGATCCTCCTGCCTCAGCCTCCCAAAGTGCAAATTCTTTTATCAGAGAATAAATGAGATTTTAAGCACCTCACTATTTGGAAAGACTCATAATATATAAAACATCTTCAACACCCTCCTGATTCCTCATACAAATGTCTTACCAGAATGCTTATCCTACCTGACAGTTACAAAGCTCATTCTTTTTTCTCTGAATTTTCAATATAGGTTTAATGCTGATATCTGTGCAAGGAAAATGAAGGACAGAGCCCTTGCAAATTCACACACATAGCAAAATAAAATTATATTTATGAAGACTCTAAAGAAGGGTATCTCACTATGCAAAATTCACAAAGGCACTTTACAAAAATCCTGGAGTCCAGGTCTGTGTGAAAAAGCAGGATTTAGGTTGGTTTGGGCCATAATGAAATCTGCATACTTACCTGTAACCAAAGAAACTTTGAGACCAGCAGGGATTTGCTAGAGCACATTCTGTTTTAGAATAGGCATCAAAATCACCCGTGTGGCTTTCTGACACTTTGACTCATGTGCACATGCTGGGGCCCAACCTCTGAGAGGCTCTCAAGTAGGCACAGATTGTTCTGATGCCCAAGCAATATCTAAACAAATATTTGCATGTCTATCATACAATGTATAAGGAGGCACTTTGCCTGGGATACTTAGGGGTTCAACATGTAATTCTTGAGCCTAATCAAGAAGAATACAGTACTCTGAGAGTGACAGGATCAAGCTATTGCAATGACAAGAATATAGCACTGAATGCTGACTGGGGAAATAGAGGAGCCTTCTTAAAATGAAATGCATCTAAGCTAGGCCTTCAAAGATACAGAGAATATTAATAGGAAGGGTGTGACAAATGGAGAGAGCAATAAGAACACAAGCAAGCTGAAGAAGAGTTATTGAGAAGACAAAGCCACAGATGATGTAGCTGGTATCTCCGAGAGACGAGTTAGTGAGAACCAAAATATGCAAGAGAAGATATGGCTAGGTTATCAGGGGCCTTGAATGTCACTCTAAGAAGTCTGTACAAACAGGTATTTGAGCATAAGATAAATGCTCAGATCTATATTTAGGAAGAGCATTTTAATGGATGAATGAAATAGGGGGTGGATGAGACCACAAAAACCACTGGGAAATTTTGCAATGTATCAAGCAAGAGGCAATGCAAGCCTGAATTAGGATGGTGGAAATGTAAAGAAAGGGATATATTTGATACACGCAGAGGTAGAATAGAAAGGAGTCATTGAGGAAATGACAGAGACATCTAAGTTGCTGTCAGGCACCTAGGACAATGATTGGCAAATGGTAGGTGCTCAGTAAATATTTGGTAATGCAATTTAGGAAGTCTCAGACGTTCCCTGACATATGTTATAGCAAAGGAGTAGGGAGGGGATGGAGGAGCTAAGGTTTACTGAGCAGTTGCATGAACGGAGGTGAGGAATAAAAGGGAGTGAATGTAGATTACAGTTTGGATTTAAAAGACAGGGAAAAGACACAATATTTGAGAGAAAAATAAACTAGACACAAGATTAGTTAGGGAGTGAAAAGAGAGCCTTAGCAGGCTAATGAAGGAAACGGGAGATAAATAAAACTGAGGAGATGAGGAGGAATATTAATTACGGAATATCTTCATAAAAACAGAGCAGAAATTCATGCATGTATTTATGATATAAAATTATATAACACTTTTTAATTGTAAAAGCAGATGAACCCAGGATTTTATTTATTTATTTATTTATTTTTTGAGATGAAGTCTCACTCTGTCGCCCAGGCTAGAGTGCAGTGGCACGATCTCGGCTCACTGCAACCTCCGCCTCCCTGGTTCAAGCGATTCTCCTGCCTCAGCCTCCTGAGTAGCTGGGACTACAGGCACGCACCACCATGCCTGGCTAATTTTTGTATTTCTTTAGTAGAGGCAGGGTTTCACCATATTGGCCAGGCTAGTCTCGAACTCCTGACCTCATGATCCACCTGCCTTGGCCTCCCAAAGTGCTGGGATTACAGGCATGAGCCACTATGCCCAGCCCAGTATTTTACTTTCTTTCAAGCCCTAGCTTTCCTCTCAATTCTATCCCTCCATGCCTACAGCTTTTCCTTTATGTGAACCTCCACAACAAAACATTCACTCCTAATACACAGTCTATCCCTGAAATAATAATATGATGTTTATTCAAAGGCACCTATAGGAACTTGAATAAGTAAACAGATGATCCTAACCAAATCCATCAGAGGGCACTTAAAACATGTGCTCCCAAAGTTCCAAGGCATTTAAAATGACGTGTACGCATTCTCTAATACTAGAAACATTGTGGAATCTTATGAACTGTAAAATACCAAATTAATTAGGTTGTTGAATTACAACCATTTTCCAAATTAGTAAGGCAATGATAGTCATGTGTTAACTTCTCTGTGCTGATGGGGTAAATAATCTATGCTTTTTGTAGCTCAGTTTCCCTCATAAGATGAAGTTAGAACAGACACTGAGTTGTAAGTTATTTTCCAGCTCAGAAATTAAATTTATAAAAGCTTGTTCCTCCATTTTGAATGTATCTCTAAGTAGAAGCTAATTTCAGAAGGTTCCCATTTTCCCACAGGGTTTAAAACCACATCTAATGACCATTATTTTGTTCAACAATGATTTCATTCCCAAAAATGTCTCCCAAAGTAGTTCTGTCTCTTAGAATGTATGTGATCAAATGTGATGAGAATGACTGCAAACTACTAAGAATCTAAGAGAAAATGTTCTTCAAAAAATTTCACCAAGGCCAGGGCATGGTGGCTGATGCCTGTAATCCCAGCACTTTGGGAGGCCGAGGCAGGCAGATCACTTGAGGCCAGGAGTTCGAGAACAGCCTGGCCAACATGGAAAAACCCCATCTCTACTAAAAATACAAAAACTAGCTGGCCATGGTGGTGCATGCCTGTAATCCCAGCTACTCGGGAGGCTGAGGCACGAGAATTGCTTGAACCTGGGAGGTGGGGGTGCAGTGAGCCGAGATCGTGCCACTGCACCTCCAGCCTGGGTGACCCAGTGAGACTGTCTCAAAAAAAAAAAAAAAGGTCCCAGTTGTCAACTGAATTGATATTACTTAAAATGATAACCTGACAAGGGGAGATTTCCTGTCAGTTGAAAAATAACAGGATTCATAGAACTCTAATTTTAAATGTATTTGGGGCTTCCTGGTTCTGTTTTTTTCTCTCATTTGTCTTACTTCTGCTACCCCCTTGGAACTGTAGCATTAGGGCACAAAATCTTTTCCTACTCTATACAGTAAGGAAGAGAAAAAGGCAGAGATCTGCTCCAGATAAGCCACTTGTGTGTATATCTACATAATTGTCCACTCTTAATTTCTTGTACTACTCAGTAATCTGAAAGGTAAAATGAATGCTCCTTGAAGTTGAAATTCAAGTTCCTTAGAATGGTGGTTACTACAGGTTTAGAAAAGAGGAAGGCGGGGGATGAAAAGAAGTTGGCTAAGGGGTATAAAAATACAGTTAGATAGAAGGAATAAGTTATAGAATTCAACAGTACGGTAAGAAAATTACAGTTAACAATAATTTAATGTCTATTTCAAAATAGAAGAGAAGAATTATAAGTTTCCAACACAAAGAAAAGATATGTTTGAGGTGATGGATATCCCAATTACCCTGACTTGATCATTACACATTACATACAGGTATCAAAATGTCACATGTATCCCCACAATATGTACAACTATTCTATATCAATAAAAAATTAAAAACTTCAAACTCTTTTTCCAGCACCATTAAATTTGCAAAAATCATGAGACTGCCCCAAATTTTTCACTTTTTTCACTGAGAAAGCAAGATTTGCCTTCCAGCTAATAACATATCACTATGTACTAGAAAACATGTTTTCCATATAAAAATAAGGGAAGTAAGACTACTGTTCCCTGCTCATATGAGGGGACAAAATTACAGGGGCTAATTCCTCCTGATTATGTTTGGCAAAGTTTTTCTGTGCTTCTTTTCCATTTTCTGTGAGATACTATATCATAATTTAAAGCTCCAGCTCAAAAGCCACTGTAATCAACTAAGAAAACTTTTATGAAGGTTTCTTGGAATAATACATTTCTTTTCATTACAGAGCACAAATTGGATAATTTAGTGTAGGCAATGAACGAAGTAGAGGGTATTTGCCCATACTTCCTACCTCTGTATCTTGAGAATCCTGAAAGATAGGGTTTCTCTTATTCCTTTTGGGCTGGGCAGAATGATGATTGCCCTCTTTACTGCCATTTCTTCTTCTTTTCCTGAAAATAAATTGCAAAGAGAGAGTTGTTAGATGAAACAACTCATCTTTTGGATGCTTAAACTGTAAAGCAATGACAACATACATATATGAGACCTTGCCTGAAAAAATATGTCACTATCTGCTATCCCAAGATATAAAAGTCATAAGTACTCCATCACCAGGCATGAAGATAAAAATGTAATACAAGAACTCTAAGTAAAGTCAAGCTGTACATTTCATTTCTAGAAATAATTTTCGTAACTTTAAATGGCCCTTGAAAATAAAGAATACGAGGAATTTAATAGCTAAGTTTTCAAAATCTACCTAATTAGTTTCATTGTCTTGACTCCACGAAGTTACAATTCCAGGGTAAGTGATTTTGAACTCCTTCAGTAACACTTAAGACATGTGTGTCTGCCAGTGTCTACTATTAAGTTCTTATGCCAGTGGTGTAGCGACACTGAAGAGATATTTCTTGTATTCTGAATGTGGTTAGGCACTTACTGTTGCCATACCAGCTAGTATTATGACATAGTTACTGCACTAGATTGTCACCATGAGATTGTGGCTGATTACTTCCTTGAAACATTCATTTCTCAAAATTGTTTTCAATGATTGGTAAGATTACATCTTCAGTTTCAAGTTCCTTGTCAATAAGTAATCAGACTGCAGCATTTGACATAGTTTTCACAGCACTCTATTATTAATCAGACATTCTCCCCAGCCATCTGCTTAGACACTACTTTTGAGTTATTGGCACTCCTAAGAATGGCTGAGTTTACTAATTTTTATAATTTCATTACTCTTTAATCAATTCCCATCTCTAGGAGACTGAGTACTAGTCATGTAGTGCAGTGATTTCTAACACTCTGTTAAATTAAACTGCTTTCTTTAAGAAAAGAAAAAGCAACACATAATAGGAAAAAAAGGAGTTCCTGTACTTGGAACGGGGGCTCTTTAACCACATCCCTCCCTGGATCTGCCTTCCTGTGCCACCCACTAACATAGCCTGACCTCTCTTCTTAAAACTGAGGAAAGAGCAGGCCCAGAGAAGCACAGTGACTCAGACAGTAAAATGAGTAAGGCTGGTAGAGCTGAGGCTGGAAGGAAAGTTCTCTTTAGCCTTGGCCCAAGGTCCTCCAGGAAAGTTTTCAGGAAGTAAAAGTTAATGAAGAACTGCATGTCCAAATCAAACAATATCTTTATGATAAAGAACTTGCCAGTATAAATGAATTCAGCTTATTTGTGTACAGTGTCTAAAAAGGCACTTTTTTTTGGCAGGAAATGTGATTTTTACCCAGATATGTGAGACATGCTAAAGCAGTTTTAGTGGGATTTGGGGAGAAAAAGACCTTTGTAGTCAGATCAGGCTTGCTTCATAAATACTGTTTACTGTCAACTGTCTGTGTCCCTAATTCCAATAGCATGTTGGTAATTTGGCCCCTAAATTCATAGTTAGTGTATTTTTCTTTATATTGCAAGCTCCTCATTACATGATCTAAATCAATGCAGCAGGCTAGGTTGACTAGCTTTTCACCACTGGTATAAATAACCTTAGGATGCCTTCCAGAAAATAACCTTAGCATACCTTTCAGAAAATAACCTTAGGATGCCTATCCTTCCAGAATCACAGTTCTATGAATTGATCCAGGGCAGGGTCTTTGTCAAAAGATAGCCAATATACTAACAGCTGATCAAAATATGGAGCAACAATAAAACATCCACTGCATCTACCAAGGAAATTCTATGCTACATCTTACTCACCGAAGCCTCAGTGAGATTATTATGAAATGAAAGAAAGAGCCTCGAACCTGGAAAGATCTGGGCTTTGTCCTGAGTCTGTTACCAACCAGCTAAATGGCCTTTGTCAACTGAACTGGCTGAGGCCAGTAAAACTGATTTTTAAGGTATCTTAATGTCATAGGCAAATGCTGACTACAAAATGCCGAATAAAAAATCACGTAGAAAACTGCTGCTGTATTACACTCCATTATGACATGATTCATTATATATAAAGAAAAAAAACGACTGGATATAAATATTATTTTATTTCACAATGTTTATTGAGCATCCACTAAGTGCTAGGCACTCCTCCAGGTGCCAGGATAAAAGAGTGAAACAAACACATGCCACAGCTCCTGCCTTCATTAGGGAGCATGGTGATGTTTGTCTTTGATCATGGTATTTTGAGTATTTGAGTATTTTGCGCTCAAGTTTTACTGAAACTTTCAACAGCTTACAATACCTTTGCATTTTTTTTTTAAAAACACACTAATACTATGAAAATGAATTTTCAAAGTGTGAAGCTGAGTTTAAAAAGCGGAATGTTCAAATCATGAAACAATGTTAATCTCATTTTTTAAAATACAACTTTATGAATGAAAAACATCTAAGGAAATTTATCACAAAATATGATTAATGGTCACGGCTGGGTGATCGGACTGTGGATAAGACTGGCTTCCTTTATTACGCTTTAACAGTCTAACCAAGTTTTCTACCATGAGATTCAGAGACGTTTGTAATGAAAGAATACATTGATAAAGGCCCATAGAACCCTCGTATCACGTGGAGAAAGATGACTAAACCAATCAGAGAAATAGAAATACTAGTTGCTAGGGTACCTAGCAGCCTCACCGAAGAAATGCCAATTTGAAAAACAGAATGCTACTGTCCACTGACTGAGTTTTCGCAAGGGACTACATCCCCACCTCACCCCCGCCTCCAGGGCTTGTAAGGCACTGACAACCAAAGGACCAGCATTTTCTTTCGGAGAAGGGTTCGCGGCATTTTTTTTTAAGCAAGAAGGGCGGGGCATGAGGCGAGCAGGGCCGCTCCGCCCGGCAACACTGTCACCTGCAGGTCATGAGAGCGCCACCAACCCCGGAAGAAAATACATCTCCGCTGCGTTTCCGCCCCGAGACGCGAGATCTTGGCTGAGAAAGCAAAGCGTGATGACAGTGGGGACCAGAGAACGAACAGGTACCGGCAAGAAAGGCCCCGACGAACCTACCGTACAGGGCAGCCTCCCATAGCACAGGACAGCCTCGCATCGTCCTGCCCTCGGAACCATAGCAACCACGCAGGAAGTTCCTGCGCCGCCGGACAAACGCAGCCCGGAGGGCGGGGCTGGCCTAGGATTGACGGGCTCTGGGCCTGTGCATCGGAGCCCGGGGAGGTTGGCGCCGGTCTCCTCTGGGTCTGCCGCAGGCTTCCTTCCCTGCTGTTGGGAGCTGACTCCTGAGGGACGATCCGCTGAGCGTCAGGATCTGCTGCGCTACTGCCCCAGCCGCCCCATGTTCGAGACCTGTGCCAATCCCATGGACATTCTCCTCCCACCCAGCCAGCCTCTGAACAGGCTTCTCAAGTGGTACATGCCCTGTCCTCCTCACAGCCCTCACACCGCTGATCCTCCTCGGCGACCTCAGCGCCCCCGGAGCTGACCAGGCCGTGGCCTGCGCCTCTCTGTCCTTATTGGGGTTCTCCTCCCACCCATCTAAGTCTCTTCCGCCCGCGGTCACGCCCTGGGCCTCAGGAAAGACCGCCATTTCTTGCATCCCCCACTCTCATAACGGGCAGCACCCGATCCTGTCCTAACAGCTCCCTCTTCCAATGCCCCAGCATCCACAGCCTTCAGCCCCAGCCCCAAGGAGGCCACCTCTCCACTAACCACAACCGCGTTCCTCACCATTTAACCTTCCTTAGCCAGCTTACCCAAAGCTATTAACTCTCTGCCTCCTCCCTACTCTCCTGGCAATCCCCACCAAGTAGACAATCAATGTACACCCTCCACAAGTGTACCTTCTCTGTCTAGTCTACTTACAAGATCCCTCCACAAGCACCAGCACCCAATTTTCTCATGATAGTCACTGATTTTCCCTTGAGAAAACAGAAACAGTCAGAGAGGAACTCGCACCGCTTCCCAACAGCAGTGGACCTGCACTTATAATCTTGGCTGCTTCCCTGGAGGAAGTGACAGGATCCTACTTGAGACAAGGCCCTTCACCTGGATCCTATACCCTCCACCTTCTTAAGGGATCATCTTTTGCAGTTATGCTTTCACCTGAATTATCATGTTCCTCTATCTGTATTTTATTATCTATAAAGTTGGCAAAGGGAGTGCTAGAGTTTAGGCTCATCCTGGTTCTTGCTGTTAAGTAGGTGATACCACAGGGGGCTGCATTCCCTGAGGATGGGGGTGGGGAGGGGGCAGATGTTGAAAGTGACTGATTCAAGAGCTAAAGATCGTGCCATAAAGGAAGCCTAACCCAGCTAGGGGCTAGGTGACCCTGCAGCCAAGACTGTGGAGAAGACAGCCCTGGACAGGGGACTTTTAGACTGCCATGTTTGTCTCTGCATTGTGCAATTTTAGCAAGAATCCTGCTAAGTTAGTTTAGTTAGAATTTCCCATCATCAGTATCTCAGTTAGGTTCCTCATCCCCCAGGTGATGTCTGGTCACCCTGGCCCACCTTCACCAAGAATCCTGTTAGTTCAATTTAGCCACAATACCCCCTTACCCTTGGTGTTTCCTCTTAGTAATTTTCCATCCATTGCTCCCCACCCTGCTCCTTGGCTATAAATTCCCACTTCTCGTTGTTGTATTTGGAGTGGAACCCAGTTTCTCTCCCTTCACTACAAAACCCCATAGCAGTGGTCCCTACACCTATCCTGATGGTCCTGAATAAAGTCTGCCTTACCGTTCTTTAACAAATGTCATGAATAATTTTTTTCCTTAACATCCTTCACTTGGATTCCATGCCCTTCCACATTCTCAAGGAATAAGCTTTTGTAATGATCATTCATTTTACTTGAATCACCACATTCTCCGTGTCTATTGGATCATGCTATCTTCTACAAAGTGGGCAAATAGATGGTTAGAAATGAGGGATTTTGTTTTCTAGAGCTGATCTTGGTTACTGCTGTGTTGTAGGTGAGACCCCAAGGGGCTGCATTCTCTGAGGAAGGTTCGGGGGCTGGAGGATATGGAGATAGGGACTAGGTTACCCTGCAGCTGAGGCTGTGGAGTGGGCAACCCTGGTCAGGGGCGGAAGGGAGGATGAAGCCCAGATTCAGAGGGGTCTGCAGAAGCCAGCACACATGGCCTGAGGCTGAGTCAGCGAGGGAGTACCAGATTCTGACCAAGATGAGAGAGACAAAAATGCAAGTTACACCAGCCACAGACATATTGTGAGCAAATCAGCATCACCAGCAGGATTTGGGAGATAAGTTAGCCTTCCTTCAGAAACCACTGAGGACACTGCAATCAACATGAGACTCCTAAGCAATGCAGACCATCTTGCATTGCTGTAAAGAAATACCTGGAGTCTGGGTAATTTATAAAGAAAAGAGGTTTGAATTAGCTCATGGTTCTGCAGGCTGTATAGAAAGCATGGCGCTGGATTTGTCAGAGGCGTTCGAAGCAGCGCAATTCTATCTTGAAAAAATAGGAAAAATCTAGGAAAAATGAGACTGGGACTTGCTTGGCTGCATTCTCAGGAAGTTAGGTATTTCTAGCTTCTAGATGTTTCTACTGAACAGACCCTGACTCAGGAGTGTCCTGATATCCCGATATCTTGAGAACAGAAGCATTCCTACTTTTGCTTTAAAAATCATAATATCGATTCTTGTAAAATATAGAAATTAAGAAAATTAATCCTTTATCACAAACCCTGGTAGCAGAGCACATCTCCCCATAATCTTTTTTATCCTGTATACAAATGAGTATTGTACCTAAGGTGGATGCATTCCTTTTCTTATTTTTGGGAATACCCTACTATGTCTACAAAGTAGCTGTACTTTCACCACTTTACTTTCTTAATAAATTTGCTTTTGCTTTGCACTGTAGACTCAACTTGAATTCTTTCTTGGGCAAGATTCAGGAACCCTCTCTTGGGATCTGGATCGGGACCCCTTTCTGGTAACAGCTTCTGGGGAGGCCTCAGGAAGCTTTTACTCATGGTAAAAGGTGAAGCAGGAGCAAGCACTTCACATGGCAAAAGCAGGAGCAAGAGAGAGAGAGAGTTGGAGGAGGGGAGGGAGGCACCACACACTTTTAAATGACCAGACCTCATGATTATTATGTAATGGCCCATTTTGTCCCTTGTAATAATCTCCACTACAAAGTGTGCTTTGTGAGGTATTAATTTGACACCTTGAGTTTTTATGTGATTCATATTTGCAGGGTATATCTTCTTCCATCCTTTACTTGTAACTTGTTTATTTTTAAAGTGAGGTTCTTTTTTTCCCAAGATACAGATTAGTGATAAATATATTGTGAAAATCAAGATCTTCTTGCAGCTGTGAAACAGTAACAGTAAAAATACCAAAAAAATCAGATGTAGAAGCTAATATGGAACTGAAGTGTTATGCAGAAATCCACAGAATAATTTGTTAGGTTCCTTAAAAGAACCTCAATCAAATTTACTGACAGCCTTTATAGAAAGATAACTTGAAACTAAAGTGACACATTTATATGAAAAAGTATTACTTTATCGCCCCATTTTGCGCAGTAGGGTTTTAGATGAAATTTCATTTCACAAAACTGTTCTGTTGCTAAAAATATTTTGAAAATGGCTATATAGGATGATCTCTCAGAGGTTTCTCAGCTTAGAAATTTTGGAATTCAAATATCTTTCTCTAGATTGAATGGAAAAAGTAAAAAGAGAACAATATCATGGGAGAGGGAAATGTTGATCTCCTGTATTTTTCTTTTCTTTTTCTTCCTAAACTAACCGGTCTGTGTTGGTTCTCAGCTGTGCTGTTAATCCAGGGAAAAGTTGGCCTACAGGAGAACACATGGATTCACTGGGCCCCAAGGCAGTTTTGAATTGCTCAGAAACAACAGCCAGAATAACTTTTGAAAGAATAACTTTTGAAATGGAGATGATTGAGATCTTCTGACATGGTTTGGTGGTGTCCCCACCTTGTGGAAGGGACCTGGTGGGAGGTGACTGAATCATGGGGGCAGGTCTTTCCCATACTGTTCTCATGATAGAGAGTGGGTCTCACAAGATCTGATGGTTCTATAAGGGGGAGTTTCCCTATACAACCTCCCTCCCTTTGCCTGTTGCCATTCATGTAAGACGTGACTTGCCTTCTGCCATGATTGTGAGGCCTCCCCAGCCACGTGGAACTGTTAGTTCTCCATTAAACCTCTTTTGGTTTTGTTTTGTTTTGTTTTGTTTGTAAATTGCCCAGTCTCAGGTACGTCTTTATCAGCAGGATGAAAACGGACTAATACATCCTCTGATTTATGTTACTTCTCACTCAAGTTGCTCGAAGTGCCTTCTCATCAAGAGCTGTTTGGGTAGAGACAGACACATTTGTTCAGCCCTATTTTTCTCTGTTTTTTTCTCCTCCTTCCTTCCTCTTTCCCTCCCTCCCTCCCTCCCTCCCTTCCTTCCTTCCTTCCTTCCTTCCTTCCTTCCTTCCTTCCTTCTTCCTTTCTTCCTTCTTTGTACAAAAATAAGTGAACTTATTTCTTCTCAGTAGAAATATCAGAATATTTCATAAATTTTGTGAGTTTTTTTTTCTGAAATTTTTATTTTGGGTTGAGGGGTACATGTGCAGGTTTGTAATATAGGTAAATGCGTGTCACAGGGGTTTGTTGTACAGATAATTTTGACACTCAGGTATTAAGCCTAGTTATTTTTCCATATCCTCTCCCTCCTCCTACCTTCCACCCTCTGCTAGGCCCCAGTGTGTTGGTCCTTGCTATGTGTCCATGTGTTCTCATCATTTAGCTCCCACTTATAAGTGAGTACATGTGGCATTTGGTTTTCTGTTCCTACATTAGTTTGCTAATGATAATCACCTCCAACTCCATTCATGTTGCTGCAAAGGTCATGATGTTTCTCTTTTTCTTACAGATGCATAGTATTCCATGGTGTATATGTACAACATTGTCTTTATCCAGTCTACTATTGATGGGCATTTAGGTTGATTCTGTCTTTTTTTATTGTGAATAGTGCTTCAATGAACATACTTGTGCATATGTCTTTATATACCCAGTAATGGGATTCTGGGTCAAATGGT